AAAGATTTTTCTCTTGCTTCCTGTTATTTAATACTACGAAGCAGAACAATTTATTTTTGGGCAATTTTTTCCCCAACAGCACTGAAAGCATTTTTATAGAGAATAGTTAACCGAACAGTTCTTTGTACCTCCTTATACCAAAACAAATCGTATTAAAACCTGTTTGAAGGAGGAAGTCAGATAACAACTGAGATTAAATGCAAAACTAACTATATAATGACAAAGCAATAATAATGGAATACTTTTCCCATGCATCAGACAATTAGCATGTTGATGTGGTTCACCTGATTATAGAAAGTACAATAAAGGGTTTGGATTTTAAGAACTTACGAAGATGTTTTGCTATCTCGAGACCATTTTTTAATTTGGGAGAGTTTATTGATTAGAAATATTCCTTTTCCTTGAGCTTTGCCACAAGGTTTCATAATCCAAGTGCTGGAGGGATTTTTTCTGAATTCTTCAACAAAGAGATTATAATCGGCAGGAAGCATAAAAGTAACAGGAACAAAATCTGAGTTAAAGGGAAAAAAAAAAAAAGGTGCACAATTAAGGACACTAGAGCTGATAAGGCTATTGACATATATAGACTGAAAAAAAAAAAATTTCTGTCTTTTCAGTTTTCCAGTCTGGCATGACCCACCCTCATTAAGACTCATGTTGCTTTCTATTTAATTTAAATTCCAGTTTGTAGTTTTTACTTAAACAAACAGTTGCAAAATATTGCACGCTGCTAACTTCAGATTAATAGATCTAAATTCACATGAATCAATTTTCTTTTTCTGTTTATATGCTGTGAAACTAAAAGTATTATATAACATTCCAACTTAACTTTATCAAACTTTGTCAACTTCTTTTGTCAGCTTTTACCATTCTGCTAACCACCTTATCCTCTATGCATGCAAAAATGTGGATCTTGATGTTGCTTCCCCCTTGGATGTGTTAATTTTTATTTCCATGTAACTCCCACTAGTCATTCTTATTTGGTCCCCAATCAGTATTACCACATTTACTGAAATCTAAAGAAAAGCATTTCCCACTTTTCACTACCGGGTTATCTTCACTTCCATCCATACAGAACTGCTTCTTTATTACACAGATGAACAGTGCTTTCACTTCACTTTCACAAGATGTAAATCAACCCAACATATCCCTGTCTCTGTTTCACTCCAATGTTTTCTGACCTCCAAAACAACTTTACTCTCCTCATTCCTGATCTATTGCTGGTTTGGTTTTGGGTTTTTTGTGTTTTGGGTTTTTTTTTTAATTTTATTTTCTAGCAGTCATTACATGTTCTCCAACTTCCCCCAAATCTCTCCTCTGAAGAATTTGTTCATTCAGTTATGTCTAGAGCCTTTCTGCAAAAGTTCATTTTAGTTTTTGCTCCAGTATAAGATTTTTCAGATAATGTTTTTTCACTCCCACCTGTTACATATAAAGTTTCAAAGCCCTTTGGATTCACCACTAATCATATTGCAAAGTACCTTAATCCCACAATTTTCCCTCTTCGAAATAATTTTTAAAAACCCAAAACAAAACAACAAAAAAAGCCCAGCAAAA